CAAACATAAAAACATAACAAATGAAGTCAGCAGCATCAGTCAGCCTTGTGTCAGCGACCGTTGACTGTTTGTGGTTCTGGTTCTGCTGCTGGGCTCTGTTCGGGTCTGAGTCCGGCCGTTCTCCTCACCTGCAGGTTGGTGTTGCGCCGTCTCGGGCTGCAGCGGCGCTTCGTCGGGTCGCATCTGGACGAGCAGTCGAAGAAGTTGCAGTCGTCGTCGCTGCTGCAGTTCTGGTCCAGGATGTCCCTCATCTTGGGCTCGAAGAACGCCATGTCCACGTCGATGGCCACCACCTGCAGCGGGACGGCAGCGGTTAGGCCCGGACCGGCACCACGACCACAACTCAGCAGTAGGAAGGCAGCATGAGGTGGAGAGATTTGAAATTTAAAGATAAAATGTCTGAATTTAGAGATAAAAATGTGAAATCCAGAATGAAAAAGCCAAAAGGTTGAGATGCAACAGAAAGACGGAGATAAACGGACAACATTTTAAGATGAAAACTTGAAATTGAGCAACAAAAAGTCTAAATTTAGAGATAAAAACATGAAAATCAGGTTCAGAAGTCAAAAATGTGGAGATAAAATCTTTCACCAATAAAAGGTCAACATTTGGAAGATTGTTTTTAAATGCGTCGACAAAAAGTCCAAATGTGGAGATAAAAAGAAGAAAGATGGAACTAAACAGACGACACTTTAAGATTAAAAAAACTTTAAATTCAGGTGTTAAAGTCAAAATTTAGAGATTAACATTTAAATGTCAGAGACAAAAAGCCAAAATGTTGAGATAAAAACAAGACATTTGGAGGCAAAAAGCCGATATTTTACAGTATATGTTTGAAATTCATCATTTAAAAGTTCAAATGTGGAGATAAAAAGAAGAAAGAGATTAACTGACAACATTTCCAGATGAAAAACTTGTAAATCAGGTTCAGAAATCAGAATTTCAAATTTCAGAAATTCTGAAATAAAAGGTCAAAACGTTGAGATAAAAATGTGAAATGTGGAGATAAAAAGTCAATATTTAAAAATAAAAAATGTGAAATTCAACAATTAAAAATCTACATTTTAAGAGAAAAACTTTAAATTCAGGCGTCAAAGTCCAAATGTTGAGATAAAAACGAGAGACTTGGAGACAAAAAGCCGATATTTTAAAATCAAAATCAAAAAGTCCACAGATGAAGATAAAATCCAGAAATTGAGCATTAAAGCGTCTAAATGTTGAGATAAAACAGAAAGACGGAGACAAAGTGAGAATGTTTTGAGATGAAAACTTCAAGTTCAGCATCAATAGCTTTTTGTAAAAATGACTTTTTGGTCATTTTCTGTCTTTAATGTTGTTGTTGTTTGTTTGTTTTCTTTCACATTTTGGTGGTTTCACATCTTTCCTGCCGTACTTGTTCTCTTTATGATAGTTTTGCGTCACATCTTATGTCTCCTTGTTGCTTTCTGTTTCTCTTTGAGGTGCTTTGTCTCATAATGTAGTTTTTTTGGTCATTTTGCGTCCGTCTGTTGCTGCTCTATCTGGTCGTCAGTTGGTCTTTCCTGATCTAGTCGAAGCTTCAGACCTTTTTCTCCTCACGTGGAACGTTTCAGGCCACAGTTTACGGCGCTGGCATTATAAACAGCGACGCCACTAATCCCCCGACAGCACTAACGAGGTGTACTTGACATTTTGGGTTGTTTCCTCTCTCCTCCCTGCTCCAGATGAAACCCGCGGGCCTCCAGCCGTCTGATAAGGCCGGACCAACAAGCCGGGAGCTTTTACTGTCTCAGCGCCGCTCTGCTTCCAGTGATGCCTCCAAACTCTGCTTTGATTTCCAGCCGAAGACGTTTTCTTTGGCTTCACTTGTGCAGCCAAAGCAAGCAGCTGTGACGCTGCAGAACTTCACACGAGGACTCAGTTTCAGTCTTTTCTGCCGAGAACCTTTTGAATTTTTGGCACTTTTTAGTCACTTTGCATCCCGTTAAAGTTGTTTTTAACCACGTCTTGCATCTCTTTGCTTCCATTTAGCTGCTATTTGGTTCTTTTATGGTTCTCAATGGGTTTTTTTTGTCATATTTTGATCATTTTGCATCTTTTTGTTGCCTTTACGCCACTTTGCAGTCATGTCATGTTGCTTCATGATTGTTTTCTTACACCTTTTAACCATTTTTTGTCTCTTTGTGTTTGTTTTTTGTCATATTTTAGTAAAACAGCAGTTTGTTTCCACTCTGTACCAACACCTCCTGCAGTTCAGCCGAAAACTTTCTGAATTTTGGCCCTTTTAATCACTTTGCATCTCTTTAAGGTTGTTTTTAACCACATTTTGCATCTCTTTGCTTCCATTTAGCTGCTTTGTGGCTCTTTTAAGGTTCTCGATGGTTGTTTTGAGTCACGTTTTGGTAAACCAGCAGTTTGTTTGGACTGTATGAAGACATCCTGCGCTTCAGTCGAGCGTTCCCTGACTTGTTCTGGTCGTTCTATTTCTCTGCGTACCCTGTGGTCTGAGCTAACGGTTTATTCTGGGCACATTTTTAAACCAGACATGGAGAGGAGATTGATTTTGATCAGTTTAAGCTCAGGTTTGGTGAAGGTTCCCGTCAGGTGACGTTTGTTTTTGTGTTTGTGATAAGTGGTTTCGTTTTGGCCGTTTGTGATGCTGACGTGCTCGTTTAAACGCAGCAGCAGCAGCAGGTGTTCAGAGGCCTCACAGAGACACAAGCAGGCGGCTGTGTTTGACCTTCTCCTCCCAGCAGCTTCTGCCTTCAGCTAAAAACACGTCTCTTCAGGAAGAAGCTCACGTCCACCGTCTGATTTCCATCTCCGCTCTAATAGCTCTTTAAAACACGGCCTTCTTATCTCCTCTCTCCCTTTTATCTCGTTTCTCCTCCTCTTTGTATTCCCAGACGGCGCCGAGGACGTTCGGGCCTCTCCGCTGGTTTCTGAGTCACACAAACTCACCGTCAGGTCCCTCCTGATGGCGAAGTTCTCCGGCTTGATGTCGCACAGGTGCAGCTTGTGGGTGAAGTCGTTGTCGAAGTGCCAGACCATGTCCAGGAAGCTGAGCGCGATGCGGTGCACCATCTCCCTGGAGCTCCACCTGCCCCGGGCCCCGGCCTGGTTCTGATCCTGCAGCCCAGGAACGGCCACGTCGTCCAGGGAGAAGATGTTCTGGTCCCAGGCGTGTCCGGCCGACAGGTACTCCACGGCGTAGAAGTGACCGCAGGAGCCCAGGACTTTGGCCACGTGGCTGCTGAGGTCCTGCAGCACTCTGGAGGACAGACGGAGGTGTTAGAGAGTAAAGAGGAGCTTCAGCTGGACGGACGTCAGGCTCAACATCAACGCTAACAATCTAACACGTCGCTTTGTTGCTTCTGGCTCATTATACAGTTTGAATCCTGCACGTGTGGAAAGAACAACATTCTGAGATAAAGTCATAAAAACTGGACCTTTAGGAAAAGAAATCAGAAATGTAGAGATGAAGGTCTGATGTTTAGGGATCAAAAGTCAAACTGTTGAGGTAGAAACTTCAAATTCACACATAAAAGTTAGAATTTTAAGACTAGAAACCGAAGATTTAAAGATAAAAAGTCAAACAATTGAGATCGAAGCTTGAAAAAATTCAACATTTTGAGATAAACACTCAGGTACGGAAGCCGAGAGCGGTCATGGCCGCACATTTTTTTAAACGCCGTTTCCCCGAGATAACGGGATAATAATCTCGTTATCTCGGGAAAACGGCGTTCGTTTTCTCGATTAATTATCCCGTTGACAGTTTGGGCTGTCACTTCAGCCTTCAAGTTGTCGGACTTCCTGGTGTGACGTATCTTATATAGACAGCTGACCGGGAACTCCGACATGACGTGTCATGAGAACAGCTGACCGGGCACGACAGCTTACAATGAAGCGCTCGTGCCCGGTCTGGTCTGTCCTCCGGCCCCCCGCTGGTGACTGAGGATGGAATCCCAGGTGTGTGGGACCTCCCACATCTGGACCGGGCACGAGCGGGCAAACACAAACACCAATTATCTCGTTTTCACGAGAAAACGATTCTTGTTATCCCGAGATAACGAGAAAATTAACTCGTTATCTTGAGAAAACGGCGAAGAAAGAACAGTAGCGGAAAACGACCGCTCTGGGCTTCCGTACTCAGGAGTCAGAAGTTTCAAAGGCAAAGTCAGACATAAAAAATCTTTCAGGGTGAAACTTCTTGTCCTGTTTGGTTACAGCAGAGCCGGCGGATGATTCACAGAGTTCATGTACAGAAGCGGTGATTTTAAGCTTAGATCTGGTTCAGTTTGTTCAGTCTCTGGTTCTGTAAAAGCTCGACCTGCTGGTGGGCTTCCTGCTGTCTGAGCAGCAGCTTGAACCTCGTCGTTCACACGTTTTTCTGCCTAATAACGAATAATAACCTCGTTTCCGAGGTAAAGTGGTGGTTTGTCGCTCTCCCACTTCTGTCTACGTCTCTGATTTCTGGAGACAGTAACAGGTGAACATGAACAGGTGAGCACGAGTGTGGATCATCTGCAGGTCTTTGTGGAGCTCCTCTGAGCTGCCATCACGTCTCTGACAGATCAGAGAACTCTCAGGAGTGTGATTCTCTGCTGTGTCTGACTCTTTGTGCAGACAGCATCAGGTCGCTTCGATTGGCCGCCTTCCTGTTTGGACCGGCTGGAGCTCTGGCCTCCAGCTGTCTGAAGGTAAACCTCCGTCTTGTTGCTCTCCAGCTCTGAACGCTAAACTTCTCACACCTTCAAGGTGAAACGAGCCCGTTTGTTCAAACTGCAGACGGGTTCTGTTCCTTAGAAGATTCTGTACTGTGAACGAATGATTTTTAACAGTTTAATCTGAATGTTTTAGCTGATGTTCTACAGATTCTCCCTGTTTGATGAGTTACAGATAATAACTACAAAATACTTTCAATTCTGAGATAAAAAGTCTTTCTAGAAGCTACACGACGTAAAGTCAGAACTCTTCATCCTGTAGGGTAAAAGTCAAAACGTTGAGATTAAACGGTGAAAATCACAGATCCAACTAAATAGCATTATTTATGAGCAGTTTAAAGCTGCTGCGAGACTAAAAGTTGAACCTCTGAACGTCAGAACCCACCAACAGGTTCTGAAGGCGTGTTGTGCTTCAAAGGAGAGTCACTGAAATGACACCAGAGCAGAAACTGTGGAAACAAAGACTTTCAGCTTCATCTCCGTCCCTGAACTCATCGTCTGCAGTTCAGTCAGTGAGACGATCAAACAGCGAGAAGCTCCACCTGGTGGAACAACCAGGTACTGCAACCGACACGCACGGCCTTCTTCTTCATTGGTTAATTCCTGACAGTAAGTGATGAACCGTTAATCACTGCCATCCCTGCTGTGGGTCTCATTTAGATTCACCATAAATAAGCGATGATGGAGGTGGACGAGCCGTGTCCTACCTGAGGAAGGTGTACTCCTCCTGCTGCAGCAGCGACCAGAGCGAGGCCAGCTCTGCCCTGGAGTAGCTCTTATCTCTGCTTTTCAGCTTCTTGCCCCAAAGTCTGGCCAGAGAGCCGTTGCCGCCGCCTCCGTCCTCGTCCTCGTCCTCCCCGGCCAGCCCCAGCGAGTTCCGGACCTGAGGCCAGGAGACGGAGCGCCGTGAGCTTCGAGGAAGCTTCGTTATCGGCACCAAACTGGTGCGACTTACCTCCAGGGTGGCGTAGAAGACCACGTCGAGAGGGGAGAGCTCGTCCGCCGTGTCCTGCTGAGCAGAAAGGAGGTTTTAGAACGAGCCCCAGATCCCTGAGCGGGCCGGACCCGGAGAGCAGACCTCACCTGGTAGTCCAGGATCCCCAGTGGCTCGTACGAGGAGAAGTTCTCCAGCTTGGACTTGAGGATGACGGGGTTTCCTCTCCAGCGCGCCTCGATCACCTTCTTGCCGTTCTCGTAGTAGAGGCAGCGTTTGTACTCGACCAGGCCGAGCACACACAGGTCCTCGCACATGTCGCCGCTCACCGAGCCCTCGCCGAACTCCAGACACTGAGTGGGAAACAGCCGCAACGTCAGCGAAACCAGAACCACGGGGTGGAACTCCAGGCCGGTTCCGTCCCGCTGGACACATGTTTCCTCACCGTGGCTCATTAAAAAAAATTAATTACAACAATATACAGTTCTGCACCTCCATGGAACCAGAACAATCAGAACCAGATTACAAAAGGTACCAAAGCTCAGAAGAAAGTCAACATTCAGAGAAAAAGAACCTCGAATTCAGAGACTAAAAAAAACAGACAACAATTAGAGATAAAATATCAAATTCAGAGATGAAAAGTCAAAATTGTTCAACAAAAAAATCTAATTCAGGAACATAAAGTCAACATGTCGATGTAAAAAGTGTTCTTTGTTGGGTTTTTTGTTTTTTTAAATGCTGATTTTCAAGATAAATTACAGATTTAAAAGAAAATCCTAATTAATGTAAAGTTGACCTTCTAGAATGTCCTAATTTTTTATTTTTTTTATAAAAACCTGAAATTCAGAGATAAAAAGTCAAAATGTGGAGAAACAAACTTGACATGCAGCGATTACACGTCAACATTTTGAGATAAAAAAAAAAAACTCTTGTGGGGTAAAAAGTCGATAAACTGCAGAATTAATTAGAAAATGTGAAGTCAAAGTTTGGTCGGAGTCAAAACTTTCAAATGAAAACTTGAAATTCTGACATTAAAAAGTCAAAATCTGAGACAAAAACTCAAACTTCAGAGACTAAAACCTAAACATCAGCATTTTTTTTTCATTGGTTTAAAAAACCAAAAGATAAATTACAGATTAAAAAAATCTACACTAGGAGATAGAAAGTAAAGATTCTGGGATGTAGCTGTAATGTTCACATTTAAAACTAAATATTTTGAAAAAAAGAAAAAAAACCTTGAAACTTTGGGATCAGTGATATAATTTCGAGATAAAACGTCAAAATTCTGAAGTCGTTTTAATTTTGAGATGGAAAGTTTAAAGTCAGATTTGAGTTTTAATTGTGGGACAGAGTTTAGAGATAAAAGCTAAAAACGTCGACCTTTGGAGGAATAAGAGCGTCCTGTGCTGAGGAGCCAGCGCTTCCTCCTTGGACTGATGTCGATCGTAGACGTTCAGATTGAAGTGTTTCTGGTGACATTTCAGGATTTCATGCTGGGCTTTGGTTCTTTTCTCAGATAAGACGTGTCTGTTTTCTGTCAGCGCGCCTCTCTGATGCCACGTCCGTCCGTCTACGCGCCTGTTTTTCTTTCTGGTAATCCGCCCAGGAGCTGATCCTCCTCCATGTGAGTGAACGCGGTAATGAGCGTCTGGAGGGCCCGGCCCGGGGATCAGCCGTGGTTCGGTGGGAGATTAGCCGGCTGATCCTCGCTCTGCCCACATTCCAACACAAACATCCGTCAGCGAGGCGCTCGCAGGCCCAACCCTGACACCAGACACCTGCCGGTCGACGGAGCCCTCAAGTCTTCACTCAGCACGCCGTTAATTCACAATCAAGCAGATGAAGTGATCTGTGGCCACGGCTGGTTTGGAATGTGGAGGAAAAACCGTCATGAGGAGATGAAGTGAATGTGTCCGTCTGCATCACGTAGAGACGTTTTAAAGAAGCAAACTGAAATATGTGAGAAAATAATCCAGAAGATCAGAGTCAGTGTCTCTTTGTGTCT